AGGGTGGGAATGTTTTTTGGGGTTTTTTTGGCACAAATTTCGGGGCTTTTCCCCCATTTTTTCCCTCTTTTCCATCGGTTTTGAGCTCGGGGCTGATGGCAGAGCTGGGGCGGGGGCGTCCCCCACTTTTTGGAGAAAGGCTTAAAAATAAAATCAATTAAAACTTCAGCCCTTGGTAATTATTTAATTGAGGAATCGTTTGGCAAATTGAGGGGGGGGGGGGACCCCAAATCCAGGCGGGGCCCCTCCAATCCCCCCCCCCAAAATCCCTCCAGGCCGTGGGGACTCGGCCTCGGTGTCCCGACCCCAAAAGTTTGCTACAAAAGTTTTATTTGCCAAAAAAAGACCCAAAATGGGGATTTTGTCTACAAAGAGCCCCCGGGGCGGGGGGGGGAAGGCACCGGCGGCTGGGGGGGGGGGACAGGATGGATTTGGGGACCCCCGGGATGGATTTGGGGACCCCCGGGATGGATTTGGGGACCCCCGGGATGGATTTGGGGAGCCCCGGGACGGATTTGGGGACCCCCGAGATGATTTTTGGGACCCTCGGGGTGGATTTTGGGACCCACGGGATGGATTTTGGGATCCCTGGAATGGATTCTGGGGCCCCCAGGATGAACACGAGGAACCCTGGGATGGATTTTGGGGTTCCCGGGATGGATTTTGGGGTTCCTGGGATGGATTTGGGACCCCCGGGACGGATTTGGGGACCCCTGGGACAGATTTTGGGACCCCCAATACAGATTTGGGGGTTCCCGGCACACATTTTGGGGTTCCCGGTACAGATTCGGGGTTCCCAGGACAGATTTGGGGTTCCTGGTACCCATTTCGGGACCCCGGCACATTTTGGGGTTCCCGGCACACATTTTCGGGTTCCTGGTACAGATTCGGGGTTCCTGGCACACCTTTCGGGGTTCCCCGCACCCATTTCAGGGTTCCCAGCACACGTTTCGGGTTTCCTGGCACATTTTGGGGTTCCCGGCACATTTTCGGGGTTCCTAGTACAGATTTGGGGTTCCCGGTACAGATTTTTGGGTTCCTGGTACACATTTCGGGGTTCCTGGTACAGATTCGGGGTTCCCAGGACAGATCTGGGGGTCCTGGTGCACATTTTGGGACCCCGGCACATTTTGGGGTTCCCGGCACACATTTTCGGGTTCCTGGTGCACATTTTGGGGTTCCTGGCACACATTTCGGGTTTCCCGGCACATTTTGGGGTTCCCGGTACAGATTCGGGGTTCCCGGTACAGATTAGGGGTTCCCCGTCCCCGTTTCGGGCTCCCGTCCCCGTTTCAAGGTCCCATCCCCGTTTCGGGCTCCGGTCCCCATTTCAAGGTCCGGTGCCCGTTTCAGGCTCCCGTCCCCGTTTCGGGTCCGGTCCCCGTTTTGGGCTCTGGTCCCCGTTTCGGGCTCCAGTGCCCGTTTCGGGTTTCCTGGCACATTTTGGGGTTCCTGGTGCCCGTTTCAGGCTCCGGTGCCCGTTTCGGGTCCGGTCCCCATTTCAAGGTCCAGTCCCCGTTTCAGGCTCCGGTCCCCGTTTCGGGTCCGGTCCCCATTTCAAGGTCCGGTGCCCGTTTCGGGTCCGGTGCCCGTTTCGGGCTCCCATCCCCGTTTCGGGCTCCGGTGCCCGTTTCGGGTCCGGTGCCCGTTTTGGGCTCCCGTCCCCGTTTCGGGCTCCGGTGCCCGTTTCGGGTCCGGTCCCCATTTCAAGGTCCGGTCCCCATTTCAGGCTCCCGTCCCCGTTTCGGGCTCCGGTGCCCGTTTCGGGCTCCCATCCCCATTTTGGGCTCCCGTCCCCATTTCAAGGTCCCGTCCCCGTTTCGGGCTCCGGTCCCGGGGCTCAGAGGCGCAGCCGCCCGTCGCGCAGCCGCCGCCAGCGCTCCCGGTCCAGCGGCACGAAGGCGCGCGCGGCCTCGTCCAGCAGCAGCAGCGGCACCGGGACCCGCGCGGGGTCGCAGCCGTCCCGGGCCAGCCGCACCTTCCGCTGCTTGAAGGTCTCGGTCACGTCCAGGCGCTCCTGGGCACGGCGGCCGTGGGCAGCCGGCACCCCAACCCAGCGTTTCACCCCAAAAACCAGCATTGCACCCCAAAAACCCAGCGTTTCACCCCAAAAATCCAGCATTTCACCCCAAAAAACAGCATTTCACCCCAAACCCAGCGTTTCACCCCAAAAACCCAGCATTGCACCCCAAAAAACAATATTTCACCCCAAAAACCCAGCGTTTCACCCCAAAAAACAGCATCTGACCCCCAAAAATCCAGCGTTTCACCCCAAAAAACAGAATCTGAGCCCCAAAACCCAGCGTTTCACCCCAAAAACCCAGCATTTCACCCCAAAACCCAGCATTTCACCCCAAAAACCAGCATTGCACCCCAAACCCAGCGTTTCACCCCAAAAACCCAGCATTTCACCCCAAAACCCAGCATTTCACCCCAAAAAACAGAATCTGAGCCCAAAAACCCAGCATTTCACCCCAAAAACCCAGCGTTTCACCCCAAAAACCCCACATTTCACCCCAAAAAACAGCATCTGAGCCAAAAACCCAGCATTTCACCCCAAAACCCCCGCATTTCACCCCAAAAACCCAGCATTTCACCCAAAAACCCCGCATTTCACCCCAAAAAACAGCATTTCACCCCAAAAACCCAGCATTTCACCCCAAAAACCCCGCATTTCACCCCAAAAAACAGCATCTGAGACCAAAAACCCAGCATTTCACCCCAAAAACCAGCATTTCACCCAAAAAAAACAGCATTTCACCCCAAAAAACCAGCATTTCACCCCAAAAAACCAGCATTTCACCCCAAAAACCCCGCATTTCACCCCAAAAACCAGCATTTCACCCCAAAAAACAGAATCTGAGCCCAAAAACCCAGCATTTCACCCGAAAAATCCAGCATTTCACCCGAAAAATCCAGCATTTCACCCCCAAAAAACCAGCATTTCACCCCAAAAACCCCGCATCTGAGCCCAAAAACCAGCACTTCCCCCCAAAAATCCAGCATTTCATCCCAAAAAACAGCATTTCACCCCCAAACCCAGCATTTTCCCCGCAAAAACCAGCATCTGAGCCCAAAAACCAGCATTTCCCCCCAAAAACCAGCATCTGAGCCCAAAAACCCAGCATTTCACCCCAAAAAACAGCATTTCACCCCAAAAACCAGCATTTCACCTTAAAACCAGCATCTGAGCCCAAAAACCAGCATTTCCCCCAAAAAACAGCATCTGAGCCCAAAAACCAGCATTTCAGCCCAAAAATCCAGGAGTTCCACCCTAAAATTCCAGGATTTCAGCCCGAAATTTCAGGATTTTCTCCCCAAAATTCCAGGATTTCAGCCTAAAATTTCAGCCGGAAACCCCAGGAATTTCAGCCTAAAATTCCAGGAATTTCAACCTAAAATTCCAGGTTTTCAACCTGAAATTCCGGGATTTCAGCCCCAAATTCCAGGATTTCAGCCCCAAATTCCAGGATTTTAGCCTGAAACCCCAGGATTTCAGCCTGAAATTTCATCCCAAAATCCCAGATTCCAGCCCGAGATCCCGGGATTTCAGCCCAAAATCCCAGATTTCATCCCGAAATGTCAGATTTCATCCCGAAATCCCAGATTCCAGGCCCAGATCCCGGGATTTCAGCCCCAGATCCCGGGATTCCAGCCCAAATCCCAGATTTCAGCCCAAATCCCAGATTTCAGCCAAAATCCCAGTTCCCATCCCAAATCCCAGTTTCCATCCCCATCCCAGTTTCCATCCCAAATCCCAGTTTCCGTCCCCATCCCAGTTTCCATCCCAAATCCCAGTTTCCGTCCCCATCCCAGTTTCCATCCCAAATCCCAGTTCCCATCCCAAATCCCAGTTCCCATCCCCATCCCAGTTTCCGTCCCCATCCCAGCTCCCATCCCAAATCCCAGTTCCCATCCCAAATCCCAGTTTCCATCCCCATCCCAGTTTCCCTCCCCCATCCCAGTTTCCATCCCATATCCAACTTTCATCCCAAATCCCAGTTTCCATCCCCATCCCATTTCCCATCCCAAATCCCAGTTCCCTCCCCCATCCCAGTTCCCATCCCCATCCCAGTTTCCATCCCCCATCCCAGTTTCCATCCCCATCCCAGCTCCCATCCCAAATCCCAGATTCCAGCCCCCATCCCAGTTTCCATCCCCCATCCCAGTTCCCATCCCAAATCCCAGCTCCCATCCCCCATCCCAGTTCCCATCCCAAATCCCAGTTTCCATCCCCCATCCCAAATCCCAGTTTCCATCCCCATCCCAGTTCCCATCCCCATCCCAGTTCCCATCCCAAATCCCAGTTCCCATCCCCATCCCAGTTTCCATCCCCCATCCCAGCTCCCATCCCCATCCCAGTTCCCATCCCAAATCCCAGTTTCCCTCCCCATCCCAGTTCCCATCCCAAATCCCAGTTCCCATCCCAAATCCCAGTTTCCATCCCAAATCCCAGTTTCCATCCCCATCCCAGTTCCCATCCCCATCCCAGTTCCCATCCCCATCCCAGCTCCCAGCGGGCCCGCCCCGTTACCTGCAGGCGGAGGAAGCGCGGCCGCGCGTACGGCGGCAGCCGCTGCTCCAGGTGCCGGTAGAGGCCGGGGCCGTCCAGGGAGCGGCCGGGCCGCAGGACGAGCGCGGCCATCCCGGCCCGGCCCTCGTGGCCTGCGGGCGAGGGGACGCGTGGGGCGACCGCGGGGCCGGCGGGGCCCGGGGGCGGCGCCGGGACCGGCGGTACCTGGCACGGTGACGCCGTACACGGTGGCTTCCTGCAGGGACTCGTGGGCCAGCAGCGCCTCGGCCACTTCCGTGGTGGCCACGTTCTCGCCTTTCCACCTGGAGGGGACGCGGGATGGGGGATGAGACCCCCCGGAATGTCCCCCGGGGCCGGGCCGGGCAGGGAGGGGCGCCCCCCGCGCCGGGGGGCTCGGGCACCTGAAGGTGTCCCCGGTGCGGTCGCGGAAGCGCACGAACTGCTGCTCGTCCTGCTCCACCAGGTCCCCGGTGTTGAAGAACTCGTCGCCCTCGGCGAAGACCCCGCGGAGCAGCTTCTGCTCCGACAGCTCCCGGCTGCCGGCGTAGCCCAGGAACGGCGTCCGGCGGGTCACCGGCGCGATCAGCAGCCCCGTCTCACCTGCGGCCGCGGCGACGGTGACGGGGAGCCCCGGGCATCTCCCGGAGCCGCTCCGGGAACCCCCGAGCCGCACCGGGCACCCCCCGAGCCGCCCCGGGCACCTCCCGAGCCGCCCCGGGCACCACCGGAGCCGCACCGGGCACCTCCCGAGCCGCACCGGGCAACCCCGAGCCGCACCGGGCACCACCGGAGCCGCACCGGGCACCCCCGAGCCGCACCGGGCACCCCCGGAGCCTCCCCGGGCATCCCGGGAGCCGCCCCGGGCATCCCGGGAGCCGCCCCGGGCACCACCGGAACCTCCCCGGGCCCCCGGAGCCTCCCCGGGCACCCCAGGAGCCGCACCGGGCACCCCCCCGAGCCGCACCAGGCACCCCCGGGCACCCCGGGACCCGCCCCGGCCACCCCCCGAGCCGCACCGGGCACCCCCGAGCCGCACCGGGCACGCCCCGAGCCGCACCGGGCACCCCCGGAGCCGCACCGGGCACCCCCCGAGCCGCACCGGGCACCCCCGGAGCCTCTGCGGGCACGCCCCGAGCCGCACCGGGCACCCCCGGAGCCGCCCCGGGCACCTCCCGGAGCCGCCCCGGGCACCACCGCAGCCGCACCGGGCACCCCCCGAGCCGCCCCGGGCAACCCCCGAGCCGCACCGGGCACCCCCCGAGCCGCACCGGGCACCACCGGAGCCTCCCCGGGCACCCCAGGAGCCGCCCCGGGCACCTCCCGAGCCGCACCGGGCACCACCGGAGCCTCCCCGGGCACCCCCGGAGCCGCCCCGCGCCCGCTCCTCACCCGTCCGGGCGCGGATGCAGCGTCCGGCCTCGTCCCGCTCGGGCGCTCCGGCCGCCACGTCGTAGCGAACGACCTCGAAGGGCGAGAAGAGCTGGGGAGGGGGGCGGGCCGGGCTCAGCGCCCGGGCTGGGGGGATTTCGGGGCGCAGCCCCCCGGGCCCAGCCCCACACCTTGTAGATGAAGCTGCAGCGGCCCACGGCGCCCGGGGTGCCGGTGTAGTTGAAGAGGGAGACGTTGCCCTCGCTCATCCCGTACGTCTCCACGATGCGCACGGGCCCGAAGCGCCGCTGGAAGCTCCGCCAGACGTCGGGGCGGAGGCCGCTGCCCACCGCCAGCCGCAGCCCGTGCTGCCGCTCCCCGGGGCGCTGCGGGGCCACCGTCAGCTCCGGGGCTACCCCCGGGTCCCCCCCGGCCCCGCCGCCCGCCCTGACCTGCGGCTGGTTCACCAGGTACCGGCACAGCTCCCCGATGTACTGGAACACGGTGACGCCCTCGGCGCGGCACTCGTCCCAGAAGTGGCTGGCTGAGAACTTCTCCTTCAGCACGCACGTTGCCCCTGCGGCACGGAGAGGGGGGATCAGCCCCAGGACACCCCCGGACCGGCCCCGGCGCCCCGGCGCCGCTCACCGATGCCGAGGCAGCCGACGATGCCCAGCAGGGACCCGGCCATGTGGTAGAGGGGCAGCGCCAGGTACACGACGTCCCGGCTGGAGGCTCCCACCAGCTCGTAGAAGCCCAGGCACATGATGGACTTGAGGTGGGACACGCGGGCGGCTTTGGGGAGGCCTGGGAGGGCAGAACAGAGTTAAGCCCCCCCCCGCCCAGGCTCAAGCAGAACCCCCCGACCCCCGGTGCCGTTCCCACCGGTGGTGCCCGAGGTGAAGATGTAGAGGCAGGTGTCGTTCATGTCCTCGGGCTCCCACACGTCCTCGGGCTCCAGCTCCTCGGAGGCCGCGTCCAGCAGCTCCTGCAGCGCCACGACGCCCGGCGGGTACGGCCCCGCTCCCAGCACCCACACGGCCACGCCGTCCTCCCGCAGGTCGGCCAGGAGCGGCTCCACCGACCCGAACAGGTCTGGGGGGACGGCACCGTGTGGGGACCACCTCGCCGGGCCCGGTGCCACCGCCCCAGCCCCGGTGCCACACGTGCCACCCACCCCTCGTCCCCGGTCCTGCCCCGTTATTCCCCTGGTCCCGCTCCGGCCCCCCGTCCTCTCATCCCCCCGGTCCCGTTACAGCCCGGGATCTCCCCACTCCGCGGCCGCACCACCCCCGGGCCCCGCCGTTCCCCGGTGC